CACGGAGACCTCTGCAGAAAACTTCCACTGTGTTTACCACTGAGTTGACAGCAGCAAAGCTTCCCTTGGGACTCTTGGCTCAAGTGGGAAAGGCCCTGCTGGTTCCTACTGGGAGCGCTGAACATTGTATAAAACCCTGGATGAGAGTTTAGGGGCATTCAGGCCACTCCTTTCACATTTCTATTGGCATCTGATCCATTGGGTTATGGAATACTCCTTTATGCTGTCTGAATATATGTCACTGTGATTGGCTTAATAGAAATGCTTAAATGACCAATAGCTAGACAGGATTTTGAGGGCGGAGAGAATGCTGGGGAGAAGAAGGGCAGAGTCTGGGTAGTCGCCAACCGGATGAGAGGAAGCAACATGAAATGCACATAGAAGAGGCAAATGGGCTTTAGGGTAAGCACATAGATTACTATAAACAGGTTAATATAAGTTATAAGAGCTGGCTAAGAACAAGCCTTGGTTGGCCAGGCAGTGGTGGCACATACCTTTAATCCTAGCGAAGCTCTGTGAGTTTGAGGTCTACAGAGCGAGTTCTAGGACAGGCTCAAAAGCTACACAAGAGAAATCCTGTCTAAAAAAAATCAAAACAAACAAACAAAAACCAAAACAAGCCTAAGCTATTGGCCGAACATTAGAACAGGCATAATTAATAAGAAGTTTCTGTGTGGTTATTTGGGAGCCAGCAGTCCAGACAAAAAACTCTGCTTACATTGGGTCTCTACACTAGTTTTTCAGGAACACGGACTCTTCTTACACACACACACACACACACACACACACACACACACACCCTCCTGCCTCCCACAGAACTTTGGAAGACATTTGTCACAAACCAGGAAAGACCTTTCGTTTCAAGTATTCTAAAGCATTGTATTGAATCTATATCTATGAGGACTGGGCTGCAGCTCAGTGTCAGGACAGAGGCATGGCATAGGTGAGCACTGGGGACGCAGTCCAGTACTCCAAAACTAAGAAAGTAAACGAAAATTTAAGAAATCTCCGGATGCGCTTTCTTCCTAGTTTGGAGTCACATGATCTGTCCACGGATCCGTATCTTCTTTAATGTCTTTCAGTTTCTCCGCAAGAAACCTGCAAATCTGGAAGGTCCTATTTTTGGGATCTTCATGTGGTTGACACTTCTGTGACCGTTCCTCTTCACCGATTCATTTTCCTGACCGCTGCCAGCATTCAGCAGTGTAGTCATGGCGCTGGAGCGATGGCTCAGCAGTTAAGAGCACTGGCTGCTCTTCCACAGGACCTGGGCTTAATTCCCAGCACCCACATGGCAGCGCATGGCTGTCTGTAACTCCAATGGCAGGGGATCTGACACCGTCACACAGAGAGTGATAATATACGTAAGCTAAAAATAAATAATGATTTTAAAAAAAGAAATGTAGTCACGACACACTCATATCTTCTATGCAATGACCTATCTTTCTAAATTCTATTAATTTAATAATAAACTCACCGATTCTGCTGGGTTGCTCACATAGATATCCAAACTGACTGTAAAAATGGTAGTCGTATCTTTTTCCATTAAAATTCTTGTACCTTGTCCCCCACCCCCCACTAAACAGTGTTCCTTGGCTGACCTGGAACTCACTATGTAGACCAGGCTGGCCTTGAATGCAGAGATCTGTCTGCCCCTTCCTTTCAAGGGTTGGGATTAAAGTTGTTAAAAGCTGGACAGCCATGCCCAGCTTGACTTCTTTTCTATTTTATAGCAGCAAATTGACAAAATAACGACTGGAGGCTTGAGACCAGCATTAGACTGTGTTTTCTGGTGTTGTCTGTGCAGGTGAATTTGTTTATCACACACACACTGAGACAGAGAGAGGGGGGGGAGAGAGACAGACAAACAGACAGACAAAGAGAGAAAGAATACTTCTGCTTGTCCGTTAACAATCGAGCTACTCCCCCAGCAGCAACCTATTTCCTATGGCCATGGGTTCTGAGTACCGCTGAGCAGGTCTGTGCCTGTCTACTTCCAACCTGACAGCAGTTTCTGGAGAAAAAGAAGCCTTAACTAAGACTATGTAAATCTGCTGACCTGAACTTGAACTATGGGAAGAGGAGGCAGGGGAGGGGACTCAAGAAAAAAATGTGTCACCTCCAGGGCAGAGTGAGAGATGAGATTAAAACACAAGTTGAAGGAGATATGTCTAACCACAGACGACATTGCTGTTGGAGGTCGTGAGCCTCCCGGTACTGGAAGCATTCAACTGAACTAGATACCCATTCTAAGGATCCCATACAAGATGCTCATCCCCAGTATTTCACGGGGTGTGGGTCATATCCTGTTTCTCATCTCTTGCTTCTTCAAGTCTAAAGTTTTGGTTTTTTAATAAGATTTGTTTGCATACTGCTTTTGAGGCTGCGTTAAATGCAGAGGCTGGTTCTTTGTATGTTAATGATATTGATAAACACATATCAAGACTGAGTTTTAAACATATGAGAATAAAAACACGTTAGGATTCTTTTCCCTTAAAATACTTCTTAGGATCTGGCAAGTTGGGGGAGGGGAACCGTGAACAGAATATATGAAAAATAATTATTCTCAATAAAAAGAAAGAAGAAACATCTAGCAAATATGTATCATAGATGTATACCCCTTAAATTGTAGAATAAAATCAAATTTGTTATTCTTCATTCCCAGTGTCCTCAAGTTTGCAAAGCCTTTAAAGGTTTCTAAACATATAAACCACAAGTCTATGTGATCTTTTTAAATAGCAAAAATAATGACCCAAGTGTTCAGTGATTTGAAATCCTGAAGAAGGGAGGGAAGGGGGAAGGAAGGCAGAAAGGCTAGCTTTATCAATAGGACGGACTGGTTCTTGAATAAAAATAAGGAATTTTGAATGGAGTTTTGAAAATCTTTAAAGATGGAGGATAATTCTGTGGCTTCGTGGTTTTATTTTTACTCTTTCATTCACCACGCTCCTTCTTTCTAGCAAGTCTCCAGTTTGTTGGCAGATAAAAATACATCTGCAGAGTCGCCCAGAAGCTGCGCCATCAACTCCGTAGCCAACAAGCCTCGTTTTCTTGTGCCGCTATAGACATGTCTCCCTCCTCTAGCTCACCAGGATCAAAGTCCTTTTCATTCTTAGACGAGTTTTCTCGGAGGAAACCTGAATCCAGAGTTGATCCCAGATGGGGGCAATCCTTGAAGACAGACAGATCGGTAATCATGGTGCGAACGCCTTATCCTCCTGCACAGCCTCGCCCGAGTTGCGCCCCCTCTCTGTGCTCTGTGAGAATACGGCAGGCAAGTTCAGAAATCCGTTACCAGGCTTCTGTATCCCTAAAGGCCATTCCAAAGGCGGAAGAAGATCAGGACAACCTCTGTATTGATTCCCCGGGCCATGTGGGCCGGGAGCGCATCGGGTCGTGTTATGGGCAGGTGAGGCTGGCGGTTCTATGAACCGCAGACACCTGAGCACCCCTGGCTAGACGCGCCCGGCAGCCTCCAGCAGCTGGCACTCGTCTGCTCACCCCCTGGAGCCGGGCGCCCACGGCGGTGGCTGTGTGGGTTGTTCTGGGCGCAGCGCAACAATGCCTTGGTATAGGGGTATCGGGGTCGCCAAAGTGAGCAAGCCTCCCCTATAAACTTAGTATCTTTATACCAGACACGTCCACGCCCCCTCCCCCACACTTCCCTTCAGGAAGGAAGGTAAACAGGAAAAAAAACAAAAAACAAAAAAATCAAACTAAAACCAAAAAACTCAAAGCTTTCCCGCCGTCTTCAGCGACGGTGGAGGAGAGAGGGTGTATCAATTTTCAATCCTTGGCTTCCTGGATGGGTCCTTTCTTGCCTCCGAATTTGAGGATCCAGTGGTTAGCATAGGCAGGGATGGGACAGGTTGAGGACCAGAGAGACTCGCTTTAAATAAGTCTCGTGACTTGCACTTGGCTTTTGTCTTGATTGTGCGTTTATCTTGGGTGAAGGGACACCTGGGGTCCAAGGTTTCGGGGTGGAAGCTGCTTGGGCAATACCAGCTTTATTTTCTTAGACTGAGTGGCACTGATCAGGAAAGCGACGTGCTCCAAAGATGCAAGATTTTTAGATTTATTTATTGAGGGGGGTGTTCCAGATGATAAGAAACTTAAGCTCTCAACACCCCTCCCTTTACCTGACAAGCGTCCCATATCCGACCACCGAGATTCCAGAAAGCCTGGAAACAGTTCCACAGGGTCCAGAGCCAATTTCTGGCTTGCTTGACCGAAACACTTTGGAGGTGGGGGCCAACTCGCGGGAGACCGCAACTCGTAGGAGGGGTGCCCGAGGCAGTGGACCTGGGGCTTGTTTTAAAGAGTTTATCCTATAAAGTGCATGTATGGAGGTATGAGGCAGAGGTTGATTTTAAAAATGTTCTTCCTTTTTTTAAAAAGAGGAGGGGGGAAGAATCAGACGTTAAATTCTTTTGCAAACATTCATGCCTAAGGTAGGGCTGGATCAGGCAGCCCCGGCCGCCGGAACCGGTCGGACAGGTAGCGAGCTTGTTGACACCGTTATGTTGCAGGGCGCATGCTCACTTCCAAGTTTCCTGGTGCCTTTTCTATTCCACCTTATGAAACTTTTTCCCCGGCGTGGTCTCACGCGCGATTTAAGGCATAGGTGTCGCCGAGGCCGGAGGCTGCGAGTCACCCGGAGTGAGGGGAGAGGTCGGGGCATCGCGGCGGGGGGTGCAGGAAGAGGGCAAGCAAGGCGGGAAGGTGGGCTCGGGACTTCGGGAGCCGGGGGATCCAGGCGCCTCCACCGCCACTAGCGGGGAGCAGCGGGGAGCAGCTGGGAGAAGGGGGCCGCAGTCGGGAGAGGGGATCCCACCATGCCCAAAGTCTTTCTGGTGAAGAGGAGGAGCCCGGGAGTCTCGGTCCGCAGCTGGGATGAGCTCCCGGATGACAAAAGGGCAGACACCTACATCCCAGGTGAGGAGCGTGGGGGCCCGGCCTGGGTGCGGGGCTCCCGGATGGGGGCAGGGTGACCGCGGCCCTCCTGCTCGCGATCAGGGCTGACGTTCCTACCCCTTCCCCCTCTCGACTGGGGTCATGGGGGTTCTTGCGGGAGGGGGAATCGAGGACCAGGCTGGGAAACCTGGGACGCTCGGTGCTTTCTCCCTAGACAGGGCTAATTGCCTGGCGGCGGGACCGTTGGCTGCAGCGCGGGCAGAGGTGGCCCTGGAAGGGGGTGGGAGGTATTGAGGGTTTCTTTGCCCCCTATGTCCTCTAAGCCGCACGTGAAGGTCCGCTAACCTCTCTGGAGCGAGGCAAGGCGAGGGCACACCCGCCTCCGCGGGCGCGAGAGGAAACTTGGCGCGCGGGGTTTTCCGCGGCGCATGGCCCTTGGTGCTTCGTGGGCGCCGGGGTGGCCTGAGGACCGGTCTCCCGGCACCCTAAGTTAGTTCGAGGGGCCGATCGCCGGGCTGACTCGTCTACCCTCGGGACGTCGCCCACTTGGCGAGGTGCCCAGGTCCGGGGCGGGGCGGCGGCACCGCCCGCAGGTCAAACTGCCGTGGGCGCCCGGGCGTGACGCCGCGTGTGGTTGAGTGTCGGGGTGCGGCCCCCTTCCTCCGCAGTGAGCCTGGGCTGTCTGCTCCCCGACCCCCCCGAGGACTGCCGCAGCGACGGCGGCAGTAGCAGCGGTTGCAGCAGCAGCAGCAGTAGCAGCGCCGGGGAGCCCGGAGGCACCGAGAGCAGCTCGTCCCCGCGCGCGCCGGAGCCTGAAACTCCAGAGCTCCACGACGCCGAAGGCCCCGATGGACACCTGGCAGCGATGCAGCGCCCGGTTGCCAGGTCAAAAATCAAGGTAGGGTGTCGACTCTGCCCCCGCCGCCACCTGCACCACGCCCTGGCGTCCGGCTCCGG